CCAGCAGTTATTGGAATGTTCTGAACATGGCTACCTCTTCTGGAGCATCAGGACAAGGGCTCATCCAGAGCTGGCCTATCTGGAACCACTCAGGTCTTTATACTTGTAGCCATAGCTTCTCCTGTTCTTTCTCTCTGCACTGTCCTGTCCTTCCTTGCTTACCCACTAGCCTCATCAGATTTCACTTCAAGTGCTACTGCCTCACTCCCAAATTACCCTTCTGTTTTGTGTCATGGAAACGTGTTCATTTCTCGCCTATCCTGATATACTGTAAACTCAAGGGTAGAGATGAGCCCTCCATCAGTTTGTCTATCGTCTGTGAAGTACCCACAAGTATGAGCAATGAACTTTGCATGACTCTGGACAAATAAACAAAAGGCCAACACCAGGTCAATGGCAATGAATCTTTTCACACTTCCTTGAGAGATGCTGAACTAAATATGCTCTCACAGCTGTTCTAAACAGAGCAATTAATGGTTTCAGTCTTGTGATCACAGCTGGAAACCCTTACACACACACACACACACACACACACACACACAAACACACACACACCAGGCAGTCCTCAGAGTCTCCTCCAGGCAGTCCCAGGAATTGGCTGCTCTCAAAAATTCTTTAAGCTGGGGATGTAGCTCAGTGGCAAAGTACTTGCCTAGCATCCGTGAGGCCCTAGGTTCAATCCCCAGTACAAAAAAAATTAAAAATTTCTGATCATTCTCAAAGAAGGATGAATAGCCAGTTCTCTTCTTGAGGACAAAAAGGAAATGATTCATTCCAGTTTTTAAGGGAAGTTTTTGGGACTGTGAAGTACGTAAAAGAAGAATACAGTAGGGCAAGAAGAGCACAGCACTGAGAAGATGAGGGTGGCTGGTGGGGAAGGGTGGCAAGGCCAACCCTGTCTCAAGGGGAAGAAACAGAAGCACACAGAATGGAGCCTTCCAGTGGGACTGACAGAGGGGAAAGGAAACCGGATGCCTTCAGACCCCAAGTCATGGACCCCGTGGACAAGGGGCCAAGAGAAGTGAAGCCAGAAAACCCCAGTAGAAGTGACTTATTTCATCAGCATCCAGTTGGTTAAAAATAACTTCACTTATTAGTTTAAGTGAGATCACCACCGGGCTGGAAATTCACTGTCAGTGAAATAAAAATACTGGAAGGAAAATAAGAGAAGTCTACTTTGGTGATGAACTTTATTTCAATAAAGCAGAAGGAAGCTGCCTGAATGTTTCCCAGACCCTATTTTCCTTCTAGGCTCTGGCTGAGGCACAGGTTGGCCACTTTTGGAGTTAGCACTCTTTGTTCCTCCTGTCTCACCCATGGGAAGCAGCAGAGCAGCATTTAGTGAAGTCTCAGCAGCAAGAGGTGACCTCTGGAGAAATCTGCACCAGAGTGTGCACTGGGCCTCACCTCCCACACACACACAGACACACACACACACAGCAAACTACAGCCTAGTCTGCTCTCCTTGACTCCTGCCAAGGCACTACACCTTCATCAGCAAAGAGATTTCCCTTGCCAATGGTGCTGTTCAACAAAGGCTGTACTGAGGAAAAGTTGCAACTCCACTGAAAAGGGTGAAGGGCCTTGTGGTATGGTTTGTGCTCTTTCTAAAGGAAGAAGGGAGAGGGACAGGGAAGAACTCGCTCTAAGTGACCGTGGGGTGACCACACTGCTTTTCTAGGAAGCCACAGGAGAAACAGCCCTGTGACCCTCAGTCCACTTCAATATGCCTTTCTGAGTCTCCTTCATGGCTCACCTAAAGCCTCCTCACTGGTCAGCCCTACAGCCCAAGACCCCAGTCTTCTCCACATAAGCTCTGCCTAGTGTGGCCCTCTGGGTAGGGAGGGAAGGCTGTGCCAGGCCCAGACAAAGTGCCTTTGGATGCAGGGTCCTCAAGCACATGACTGTGTCGGCTGTAACTGTGCCTGCTGTATTGAGGTGGAAGCCAGTCTTCACACACACCTGGGTAGGTGTCAGGCACCTGATATGCATACGACATATCAGGAGGCACATTATGTTGGTCTGTCTGTGACTCCCAGCATATTGCTCTGCCCAGCTCACACATGGGAGTCAGCTCAGCAAGCCTGAAGGCCACTGCCAGCCCTGATGTTCTGCTCTTTGAACATTAGAAGACTGTTTGCTGCTAGGCTGTCTGGTAAGCTGCCCTTGAAGTGATGGGCCTTAGCACCTTCCAATTTTGCATCACGTATTTGGCTCTCTGGGCCTCAGGGTTTTTTGTGTTTTGGAGGGTTTATTTAGTTTTCTTTTGTGCAATTCTGGGAATTGATGGAGAGTTTATTTTGTTTGTTAGTGATGTTTCTGAAGGAGTATATAGATTTCTTTTGAAATTTTTCTATAATTTCATATTTACAGAAAAATCGTAAGAACAAAGAACTCCCATATACCCTTTACCCAGGTTCATCAATGTGTATTAATTCTCCCTGTCTTTGTTCTATCATTCTCCTTTCTCTCTGTCTCTCTCTACATACACACACGTGAATATAAGTGGAAGCACTTTCTATGTGTACATGTGTGTGTTTCTACATATACATGAGTATGTACACACGTGTATTTATGCCAATGATTCTTTTTTGAATCCTTTGAGAATATATTGTAAATATGCTGTCTCTTTGCCACTAAAAACCTTGGCATACATTTCCTAAGAACAAGCATATTCTCTTATGTAAGTGTGGTACAGTTACCAAAATCAGGAAATTTAAACATTGATACCATACTATTTTAAATTCATAATCCAAATTCAAATTTCATCAAACATAGCTACTTTTTCCTAGTCTATACAATCCAAGATCAAAAGCTGCATTTGGTTGTCAAGTCTTTTTATGCTATTTTAATCTAGAAAGATTGCTGTGCCTTTGTCTTTCTTATCTTCAACATTTTCCTTTAAAGAGTAGGATGCTTCTCAATTTCAGCTTTGTCATTGTTGCCTGGTGATTAGACTGAGTTATGTGGGGGGTTGGGGCAGTGATCTTATTCAATCAATTTGTTCTTCTAAGTGCAACACATCAGGAGGCACACTGTGTTGGTTTGCCCACAACTCAAATATGGAGTCCTTATCATGGCTTCAATCATCATATCCTTTAGGACATGAATGAATGTTTCCTATCTCCAGCTTCATGCACTACGATTGTGGGCAAATGGGACACACCCTTAAACTCACGAAACCTGTGTGATGGTCGTGAGGTGGAAATTTCAGGCGGAATGGTTGCATGATGAGGAACACATGGCTCAGCCTTCCCCAGCCCCACCAGCACCCAAGCTACCTGCTAGCAAGCAGCTTACCACAATCCCATTAGCAAGCCCAGCCAAGACTAGCAGAAGAGCAGCATAAATTAGCAGTCCACAAAGTTGTGAGCTAAATAAATAGTCCTCATAAGGCGCTACATTGTGGAATAGTACATTTTATCACAAGAGCTAACTGACGCTTCTCATTCATCAGGGGAAAGAGCTAGCACACTACTTATTTCAGATCACTGAAGAAATGTCATCCTGGTTCTTCTGGCTGTGTCCTGTCTCCTTCAGGGACCTGACTCTGTCTATGTTTGTGATTCAAAGGATCATTTTAATTATGTGGGAAAAAAAAGAGAGACAAATCACAGTGCCACATTTCTTGGTTGCTTGACTGGATCGATGACTCCCCTAACACTCTTCCATAGAAATCAGCTAATGATGAATCTCCCTGGACAGAGACCCCATAGCAGGAGAGAGGCCCCTTGTTAATAAACACCTCACAAGCATCTTTGAGCACCTTAAGTTTCACCATAGCTCTTACATTCACACCTCCTCTAACCTCTTCCCTGGAGATGAGGACTTTTTTTCTTTTTTTTTGAGACAGGGTCTTGCTCTATAACTCAGGCTATCCTTGAACTCACTATGTGGTCCAGGCTGGCCTCAAACTCATGAAAATCCTCCTGCCTCAGCCTCCTGAGGGCTGGGATTACAGGTGTGCACCACCACACCTAGCAGGATTTGTATTTTAACAAGTGCATCTGCTTGCTATTTCTAATGATCAGGGAAGTTTGGGAAACCCTGCATTATAAAAGTAGTTCTCAACCTAGACTGTGCTTTAAAATCACTGGGATGGTTAAAACCTTAATGCCCAAAACATTTATAGCAGAATTTCTAGGGCTAGCACCCAGGCATCAGTATATTTTAATACTTCCCAGGTGAGTGTAGCGTGCAGCCAAGCAGAACCTGTACTGATTTCTATGACTAATGATTAAGAAACTGACTTTTTTTGCATTAGCATGAACATCCCCCTTCAACAGCATGTGTTTCGGATAATGAAGGTGTACTTATTTTGGTGCTCAGGAAATGCTGCCCCACAGACTTCTTTATGGTTTTCTCCCCCACCACTCAGCTGATTTTCCAAAAGGAAGTTGAATTTTCCTTCCTAAGAGCTGTTTTCTAAGTCCTATAAATTTCCTTCTGGGGGAAAAAGGACTTTTTCTTTTTTCTGTTTGCTATGATGAGACTGAAGTGCAGGTATTGTCAGGGCTCTGCCCTTATCCTTAGAGACCCAGACCATTCCCATGCCCAGGCATTCTTGGTGGGCACCGTGCTTATTTATTGGAGGGTAGCATTCAGGTTACTGGAACCTTTTGCCTATTCAAACAAATAAACAAAGACCCAGAAGAGCCTGGGCATTTGTGTCTCCTGAAGTATCCCTTTGCCAATGACTGACAGGTGCAGTGGTATGAATACTCCAGCTCCCTTACTCTGCCTCTAGAGGTTTCCTGAGAGACTAGGACTAAGTTACCCTTCCTCACCACCACTGTGAACTTCACTTAATACTGCACCTCTGCTTGGCCACCTTCCCTTTCCTCTCCAATTACTCCCTTCCCAATTGGCTTTTCTTGGAAGTCTTCTTGTAAATCATGTTCAGAGAGTCCTCACCTCAGAGACTTCTCTTGAACCGATTCTAAGACAGCAACTGCCAAGACTGCACCCTCCACGACCTTTACAAAGATGGTGGTACTGACCTTCATCCTTAATACAAAGGGCACTGTGCAGGCCTCCAGGAGCTGGGTTGTTCTCAATTCGCACATCAACAGCTCTCGTGATTTGCTGTTCACCACTTCCTTTGCTACAGACAGTTGTCCTGAAACAGACAAAGGAGACACTGGGTTAGCAGAACTTCTTTGAGTTGAAAAAAATGGAAAAGAATAATTCTTTTCTGCTATCAGCTCCAACTCAGCTGATATTTTTCTGATTCATGAGCTTCGACTGAAAGCGTCAATATGGAAACATTCTCCCCAAGTGAAGGTCAACATTCAAGAAGACATTCAGGAAGGCTTGAGTTGAAGTCCCTGGTATCACTACAAGTTTCAGAGGCAAAACATTGTTGGTCTCTTCTAGTATATTTTTTACTTCATAACATTCTGCCCTTTTTCCTGTTTTTTTTTCTTCAAATTTCTTAAGATAGGTCATTAGTTCATGAACTTTCAGCTTTATTCATTTGCTAATACAAACAATAAACATGCTGTTTATTTCCTTCTAGGTATAATTTTAGTAGCACTCCATTGGTTTGGGTATTTTTCTGACATTACCCAATTCTAAATATGCGCTAGTTTCCTTTATAATCTATATTTTGTCCCATGATTGATTTAGGAATATCTTTGGTACGCAGCACATAGTTACGTTTTTAAAAATTCACCTGGCAAGCTGGCACAGTGGCACATGCCTGTGGCCCTAGCTACTTGGAAGGCTGAGTTAGGAGGATTGGTAGAGGGCATGAGTTTCAGACCAGTCTGAGCAGCAGAGCAAGACCCTATATAAAAAAACAAAAACAAAAAAGCCCAACCTGACCCAAACAAAAGCCATCTGACAATCTTTTCTAATAATGAGCATCTGTCTACTTATACTTAATTGAATCACCAATTTCTGCTATCTTACACGTTCTACCCATTCTTCTGCCTTTCATCCTTCCTTTTCCCTATTTTGGACTGTTTGAATTCTTTTTTGGGGGGAGGGAAGGGCACTAGCTTTTTTCTCTGTATTGATTTGACTATTATTTTTCTCAATGTTTTTTTCTTTATATTTGATTCCTACCAGTCTTTCCATGATGGGCCAAGTTGTGGATTTCTTTTTATGTGTCCTAGTTGGGCTTTGCAGGACTTCTTGAATCTGTGCTTGCTGGCCTTGAATTCACTATGTAGCCCAGGCTGGCCTCAAACTCATGGTGATCCTCCTGCCTCAGCCTCGCAAGTGCTGGGATTACAGGTGTGCACCACCATACCTGGCTTCTTCATGTTTTTCTTCAGCTGTCAATCATTCTCATGTTGCTTTTACTCCACTTTTTTTTCTCTTCTCCTTTTAGAATTCTAATTACATGTATCTTCTTTGTCTTTTTCTCCTTCCCTCTACACTTTTCATCCCCCTGGCCCCCGTTACTTATTCTGGATATCTCCCTCTGAACTATCTTCTAATTTACTAATAATCCATTTTGCTTTTTTTCTCCTTATACTGGGGATTGAACCCAGGGCCTTTGTACTGAGCTACATCCCCAGCCCTTTAAAAAATTTTCAGACAGGGTCTCACTAAATCACTAAGTTTCCCAGGATGTGCTTGAACTTGAGATCCTCCTGCCTCAGCCTCCCAGAATGTTGGAATTACACACATGTGCCATCATGCCTGGCTTCTTTGGCACTTTAATCTGCTATTAAATCCTGGCTTTTTAAAGTCTGCACTTAAATCCATCAAGTTTTTGATTTTAGTTATTGTGTTTTTCATTTCTAGAGTTTCCATTTAGTTGTTTTTAATCAGTTCACATCCTCTGCCAAACTTCTTGCCCTTTATATCTCGGAACATGTTTGTCTGTCTGTTGTGAGACAGGGTCTCACTACGCATTCTAGGCAGGCCCTGAACTCACCATATAGCTCAGGCTGGTCCCCAGCTTCCCAAGTGCTGGGGTTACAGATATGCACCACCACCCCTGGTTTATCGTTAAACATTTTAAGGGTAGTTTAAGTCTGCATCTACCAATGCCAATATCTGGAACTTCTATTAGCTATTGCTCCTCCTGAATTCTATTTTTTTTTTTTTTTGCCTTCTCTCCTCATATGACTAGTTATTTTGCATTGTGTGAGAAGTCCTATAGTGGCTAAATTGCTTGTTGAAATAAATAGAAAAATATTGTCTTTCTCAAAAGACATTTGCATTGATTATTCTAGACTTTTGGAGCCCTCAAACTGGAGCCCAGAGTCACTTCTATCCAAATTCCAGGCTTCAGAAGATTTGATGGCTTGCTATTGCTCCTAGGAGGGCCTGTGGCCAGTTACCTCTTTCTCCTGGAGAACAGCTCAGCAAGGTGCAAATCCAAAGCAAAAAGGCTCACAAGGTCCCCTCCTGTGCAGAAGTTGAATTCAAATCTCAATTCTAGTCCGATGAGTCTGTCACTCAGCTTTTCAGACACCTTTATGGAGTACGCAAACGCTCCCAGGAAATTGGTGGCCCCAAACTCTGAATTCATCATTCTAGATCTTCATTCTTCTCTGGATTTATGTATACACTCAATATAAATTCATGGGGACATAGGTCAGATCTGCTGTATATCTATTATGTCATAACTATAAGATGCACCAGAAACTTAATAATTGCTTTTCAGTGTATGTGTGGTTGGGGAGCCACATAGAAAAGACCCACAGTGAAATGTACATACTAATGGTCAGATACTTCCTGGTTCCAGAAATATTAAAATGGGAGGATAAAATACATTTTAATGTGTTGTATAGTAATATACTACATGCATGTTTTCCTTATAAAGAAGTATCATCCTGACAGGCAGAAAGACCCTCTAACATGACTCACAGCAAACTCACAGAAGACAGGCCTTTCCAGCCTTACAATGACTGACTTATAATGTCTGGGAAACCTCAGCCTAGTCTCAGGATCTCTGAATACCCTGATTACATGAGGAAATAATAGGAATGAGGTTATGAAAGATATCCTTACTTGACTACATTATGGAAAGGAGCATGGATATAAAATGCAAGGCAGGGAGGACCACAGCTCCAGATTCAGGGAAAAACTCCAGCTAGAGCCTCAGTTGTCCTCTTCATTCAGCTGCAGCTCTACACTTCATACATTTGGAGGCCTGAGTGGGCAGGGCTGTGTGTCTTCCATGGCCCCCTGCTAGCCAGGACAGGGTCATCATCAACCAAAGCAGCTCTTGGAAACTGTTTTGCTCTTTCCCAATCCTCTAGCATGAAGGAGAAAGTGGAATCGCTCCTGCCTTCTCTGAGAATGACTAGGGAGCAGGAACAGCACTACTGGGAAGTCTTCTCCCAGCTCGCCACAGAATTACTCCTCTCAAGTCTTCCATGGGTCGGGAACACAGACGGCATGGGGTGGGGATGGGTTGGCCCAGTTTATCATGTCCAGGGCTTGAGCTGGGAAGACTCACAGGCCAACAATAACTCAATGGGAGATAAAATCATCTGGGAGCATCTTTGATCACATCTCTGGCAACTTATTGTAGCTTTTGGCTGTGACACTGGTTGGAGCTGTTGGCAAGGGACCCTACATGAGGCTCTTCCATGTGGCGTGGCCTTCCTTACAGCATAGCCATCTCACATAGTTAGACTTCACACAGCAGCTCAAGTCTACAAAGGCACGTGTCTCCCAGACTCAGGTAGGAGCTGCATGGCATTTTCCCCCTAGCCCTAGAAGTCACCTAGTGTCACTCTTAGATATTCTATCAGCAGAGACCATATCGTGCTGTGTGCAGGAAGACACAGAGCACACCTCTTGATGGGAGAGGCATGAAAGAATTGGTGGCTATGCTCTTATTAATCAATATTAATTAAGTGATAAGAGAATGCTTGATAGAGATTCTAATCTCAAATAATAAGGATAAATTTCTTAGGTATTTTTAATAAACACATACATGGTGCTTATTCTGGGCCAGACACTGTTCTCTAAGCCCTTCACATTTTTCTTTATTTTTAAAAAACTGAATTTATTTGCTGGGGATTTAGTTCAGTGGTGCCACTGCCTTCCTTGCAAGCAAAAGGTTCTGAGTTCGATCCCTGGTACAAAGAAAAAAATTGAATTTATCTATTTAATTGCTTGCTTTCTACTGGTTACACAAATGAATGAGTTTGATCTTGGCAGATTCATACATGCACATAACGTACTTTGATCATTCTCACTCCATCACCCCCTGCCACCACGCCCCAACCTTGGTGGCTGTTTCAAAACCTCCATCCCATGTTCCTACACATCAACATGTAGATGAGCAGCAACAGGAAGAAGGGTATAAAGAACATATACTAAAAAATTAAAAGCCGTTACCTGTGCAGTGGGGAAGAAGAGAGAAATTAATTTTATACATATTTGTATCACTTGAAATTTTTACAACGAATTTTTATAACTTAAAGAAAAAATTCAAAATAAGAAAGTAAGGAGGAACAATTGTGACATAACTCCAGAAGAACGTTTTTGTGTAAGAATTTGAAACAGGAATGTGCCGAAAGCCCCTGTTCACTGCACTTTACCTATCCTGGTAAAGTCCTCCCCAGGGGTATGCTTGAGCCCCTGCATAAGCCCTGGTGGGGTACTGGGGTGAGCTGGAAAGGAGGATGCGGCCCGGCCATCCCGACTTACCCGAGGGTGCCATCTGCCAGCCACCCCGTGGTGCACACTGCAAGGGCACAGTCCTGGACCACCCTGTGCAGCTCGTCCGCAGACACCAGGTGGGCGCCTCTGCTCTTGCAGGAGAGCTGAGCTGCCTCCAGGTCCAGGCCCTGAGAGCCATTTTGAGACTCCAGAGCGAAGAGTTTCCCTGTGTGGGCACAAGCACAAACACACGTGGGCTCCAGGAGTCATGGGACCTTAACCTGAGCAAACGCACTGTCTGGAAGACACTCAAGACGTAGCTTCCCAATTGCCTGAGCCCCAAACACAGCAACTCCCACTGCACCTCATCCTGGGACCAAGTGATGACAATTATACTGGTGTTTTCATTTTTGCTCTTTTTTTTTTTTTTAATTAGACAGACTCTCACTATGTTGCCCAGGTTGGTCTGGAACTTGTGGACCGAATGATCCTCCTGTCTCAGCCTCCCCAGTAGCTGGGACTACACCTGGCCACCACACCTGGCTTGCTATTGTCTTCTTAAAAACAAGCAAACAAAACCAGCTGCTCTGGGATGTTGCAGGTTATGTTATTCAAATTTTTAAAAAGTGCTTTACAAACCACTACATGGCTGGGCTCAGTGTCTGAAGTCCCCCTAAATTGGGTCACTTGGTCTCCAAGGCACTAATTCGGGGCTCAGTTTTGCCTTCCTCTGCCTTCTGAAGCCCTGAGGTGATGCTCTCCGTAGAAGGTGGCTTCCTTTGCCTTAGGTCCCTTCAGGCCTTTCCCACAATGAATTCATTTGCATTCTCTTCTACTGGACAAAACAGCCTGGATCACGCCTACTCACATCTTGGCTTCATGGAGCACATCAATATGTGACCATGCAGGGGCCTCAAAGAACTTGTGACAGATGTGGGAATGAGAACATGGATTTAGGCAGAGGTGGAAGCCCAGGCAGAAAGCAAAAGAGAGCTTCAGGCAAGAAAACCATGGTGTAGGAGGGAGCCCTGTGGTCCCCAGGATCCTCTAGTAGGGATAAAGTAATTCCTTGGGCAGCTTTATCTACTTTAACATAAACCCAGGGAAGAAAAAACAAAACAAAACAAAAACAGGTAGAATGAGACACTTCCATTTGTCAGCATTTTTTTTCCAGTACTGGGAACTGAATTCAAGGTCTTTGCTTTGTGCTATACTCCCAGGCCATTCCTCCCCCATCTTATTTTGAGACCAGGTCTTGCTAAGTTGTCCAGGGTGGGCTCAAACTTTTGATACTCCTGCCGCAGCCTCCCAGAGTGCTGGGATTACAGGCCTGTGTCACCACCCCTGGCTAGCAAAGTTTTCATAATATATTGTTCTTACTAGAACAAGATACCTAACTGCTCACCAAACTACAGAATGCAGATTCATTTTGGGCACACACAGAATATTTGTAAAAATAATCAAATATTGAGCTACAAAACAAATCTAAAACACAATCTCAAAAAACCAAAATCATACTAAGCGTTTTTTTGGACCACAATACAAGCTAATATCCTTTTTTAAAAAAATTTGTCAAATACTTACATAATATCTATGATGGGCCTGCTGTTCAAATTACTTTACAAATATTCATTATGTTAATCCTCACAACAACACTGATATAGGTGTTATTATTATCCCCATTTTTTAGCATAATACATATTCAAGATCACACAGCGGAGATATAAAACCAGTCAGTTTGGTTCCCTGTCAGTGATTTTTTTATTAGTTTATGTCTGTAATACATAACAGTTATGTTCTTGTCGATGAATCATTGTGCTCCTATATTTCCTCTCAATAACAAAGTAATAAGTAGGAAATCTCCTTGAGTATGAAATTACAAAATACACTTCTAACTGAACCATGTGCTCAAAGAAACAATCACAAAGCATTTTAATTTAAGGAACAAAAACTTGTGGAGAAACTAGTTTAATGGAAATGTGTAGCCCTAAAGGCTCATGTTACAAAAGAGGTGTAACTGAAATATCAATGATCTAAGATTTTATCTGTAAAACCTCAAAAGAAATTACAAAAATCACAGCTTCTAAAGAAGTAGAAAGAAGGAAACAATATAGAGCAGAAATCAATGAAGTGGAAAGGCAGACATACACTAGAGAAAATAAAGCCAGAAGTTGGGGTTGTTTTTTTGTTCCAAAAGAACAACAAAATTTATAAACCCCCAGCAGGACTGATTGAGGCAAAAGGCAAGAAAATACAAATGAGCAATATCAAGAAAGAAAGGGAGCCTCTCCACAGGCCCCAAGGGCCTGAAATGATGATTATAGATGATCAGGTTGTATGCTCCAGTACATCTGACAAAAATAGGGGAAATGAGCAGATTTCTTTTTTAAAAAGTTAGCAAACTGACACAAATAAAATTTAAAATCTGAATATTCTTCTATCTACTAATTAAAATAATTTTTCAAAATTTCCCAGAAGAAAAATTCCAAATGCAAATGACCTTACTACCAAAGCCCACAAACAAACAAAACAAAACAAAAGTCTCACCTTATAACAACCCTTTCAGAGAACAGAAGAGGAAACAACTTTCCAGTTCATTTAGGAACCATCATAACCCTGACGCCCACACCTGACAAGAAACAAAAATTACAGGCCAATATATTCCATAATAGAGTCAATGATTCTAAACCCACTGCCCTCACTTCAGGTTCAGTTCTAAGTTTTCTCATTGTAAAAAGTTTCCCTAGCATTCCATCCACTCATGGTTTCAAAGACCATCCTTACACAAATGACACACTTTTCTCTTCAGATCAAACCTTTCCTATTCACCCTACTCACCTCCATCTTTCTCCTAGACAACTGAAATAATATCTGATAAAGTCTCTCTACATCTACTTTTGCCCTGTTCAACCTACCCTCCCTATCTTACAGTTAGGGTTATCTCTTCAAAATGCAAATCTGAGGCTGGGCCTGGTAGCACACCTCTGTAATCCCAGAACTTTCAAGGCTGAGACAGAAGGATTGCAAGTTCGAGCCTAACCTGGGCAATTTAGTGAGACCCTATCTCAAAATTTAAAAAAAGAACTGAGGATATAACTCAGTGGGAAGGCCCTGAGTTCAAAAGAAAGAGGGGGTTCTGGTCAGTCATTCTACTACTTGAAACTGTTCAACCACCTCCTATTCTATGAGGCTCGAGTTATCACTGTACTGATTTCTCTAGCATCATCTCACATCAGCCTTACATCCTCTGCCTCAATCACTCTCTCTCTTACCACATGTCCCATTTGTACTACCACTTACAGGTTGTTTAAATACTACTTATTCTCCTCCTTCCACTCTTCCTTTTCCTTTCCCTACTGAATTCCTACTCATCTTTCAGATTCTCTGCACCAAGTCAAATTTTTCCAACATAGGCTCTCCCGAAGGGCAGAGCACCTTCTCTAATCTTTTCAGTTACCAAAGTTGCAATTTCACACTTCTTTTATAGAATTATTTGTCTGATGATTCTCTTCCCCACCGTGTGTGTAAGCTTTGATAGAAAGTACCTATTTCACTTCATCATTCTACCTTTACCAGCAAGGACAGTACCTGTTATATAGTAGATACTCAAGAAATATCTGTTGAATTAATTAATCTTTTTCTATGATTATTACTTAAAACAGTTCATTTGCACTTAGTTAATATAAATTTTTTTCCATTTTAAAAGTATAAAGGTACAGTAGCAGGTCTCCTTTATGTGTGAGATACATGTCTAATTTGTCAAATGTAAAGTAAATGTTTTTCATTTGAATTTTTCTTATCAACTTATTTTTAAAAATAGTTTCTGACCAAATCTATATCTTCAAATATCTGTATCATTCCAAATGTAGTATATGCACTGCTAAAGCGAGCATTATTTTCAAATACCTGTAATGCATCACAATTTAGTCAACACTATTTCTTCCTCCTGTCACTTAGCACACGAATAACTAAGTGTGGGAAGTGGTGGTAGTTAAACACACATTTAGTAAAGAATCCTTTCATAATATAGCTAATTCTTCAATGGCTCTATTATAAAAGTGGGAGCTCAGCAAGTGGAATTTCTTAAAAGGAAGTGTATTTATAATTCTCCATTGAGGAAATGGAGAAAAGAAAATGGAGATGGGGAAAAGAAGCATTTCTGGCAATCGGTAAGAAGGAGACATGTACTTTAGTGTTGTCTTCACTTTCCTTTTGTCTAATTACACTTCTGCCTTCAACTTTCTTGGACTCATAACAAGCCAGATAGGTACAAAATATTGATCCTTATCTATGTGGCATTCCACTTATGCAGCCACACTGGACTCATGGACTGCAAAGATATTTCTTTAATAGGAATTAAAATTGGTACAAAAGTATACATTATTCAAAAGTTAATACAGCTCCAATTCATTATACTTACATTCCTTAAAATCAGCTTAATTTTTATAACTACATCAGGCCAAAAATACTAAAGAATTACCAGTGGACTGACTGCTAATAGGTATGGGGTTTAATTCAGGGGTGAATTAGAATTAGATTCACAAAAATGGTATGTGCACAAAGTAATGATTACACTAAAAAGCCACTGGGTTGCATATTTTAAAATGGGAAGTTTTGGAGCCTTCCGGGCCGTGGTACCACTGTCCCCAGCACCGAGGAGCAGAGCCACCCCCAGTGTCAAGGAGCTGAGCCTTGCAGGCCACTGTACCACTCCCCCCAGCGCTGAGGAGGTGAGCTGTACCAGTGCCAGCAGCACACCCCCCCCTTGAAATGAGAAGACGCATAAACAAGTCTCAAAACCAGACTTCCAGATCACCTAAAGCAACCTCAAAGGGAAATGAGATGAAACCAGCTGATACTCAACCACCTGGACTCCCAGAACTGGAAACAAAAGAGGATCTGGAAAAAATGAAATCAGAAATAATTTCTCAGACAACAGCAGAGATTGTGCCCATACTGCAAGACATGATTAATAAATCTAGAGAGGACACAGACCAAAAAAAAATAGAGGAGCTGAGGAACATGATGGAATCCCAACATAGGAAACAAATGGAATCCATAAAACAGATGCAAACAGATTTCTAGATTAAAAAAATTCATTGAAAGTCTATGCAGCAGAATGAACCAATGTGAGGAAAGAATTTCAGATATAGAAGATAAGATTGTAATTAGTGACCAGGAAAAGAAAAATTTCTTTAAAATTGTAAGGGACCACAAGAAATCAAT